CCGTACTGTAACGTACTGGCTCAAGTCAAAGCAGTAAAAGATTATCATCTTTATTGCCATTAGTTCATATGGCTTTCGCTTAAAGAACTTAATATTTCCAGTTCAGGATTTACATCAGAATCTGGAGTTTGGTAGCGGAGCCAGTCGGCTCCCTGCCTTCTGGCTCTCTCTCTGCCGCAGGACACACAGTTACGGCACCGACGACACCTACGAGATTGTCATCCCTTGGTGTAGTCTGATATTTGGGTTGTTTCAGTATATCAAGATATATACCTTACCAGACACAGAGTTGGATCAAGCACGGTTTATTTATCTGAAGTTCGGCGGGAAAGATGTTGGCCTCTCCACAGACTACCCCACTCTCCCTCAAGCAGTATTCTAAGGACATACCGCCGGGCTGGCGGCCAAGGGCATATCCAATTCGTGAATATCGAGAAGCGCTGGAAATATGGAGTCGACTCACGAGATTGGAACAGGACCAGCTCGGCGCAGCGGTCATGAGCAGACTAGAAGGCCCGGCACTACGGGCAGCTCAAGACCTACGCGTGACGCGACTCGATCAAGCAGGCAATGTTGTGAACTATCGTGGCATTGAGGCGGTCAGCTTACCAAGAGTCGCAGCAATACTAGACGGTCAAGGCAATGAACTCGCCCCACTACAGCACAGTGGAATCAAGATTCTGAACGACAGATTATTCGAGATGTATGGACTGGATGATCAAGATCTAGCCTGGACCTCGCTGGATAGATTCTTCACTTTGCGTCAGGGATCCAGTCAAGACTTCATCTCATACCTTTTTGAATGGGATCATTTATATGAGGAAGCTGAACGATATGGAGGCTTACAGATGGGCGAGTCAGCTAAGGCGTGGCTCTTCTGGTCACGGACGACGTTTACTGACAAGACGCTCGCAGATCTACGCTTGAAGGTCAATGGTGATCTCAATAGATGGCGCGAGATGGTTCAGTTGCAGCTAAAAGTGAGCAAGAACGAGATGGCGGCCAATGAACAGCACGTTGGATATAAGAACTACTGGGAAGATTCAGACTCCTGGACAAGAGAGTATGAATACGACTACGACAACTACTACGAGGATGATGAGGAGTACTACGACGAGTGGTACGACGAAGAGTATGATGAAGATGATTGGTACGACGACAATGGAGATCAAGATGGATACGGAGGCGCAGCAGCAGGTGGCACTTCATCATCTCTCCCAACCCCATCGACACCGGACGAGGACTACTGGCAGAATACACGCGGAAAAGGATCATACGGCAAAGGAAAGAGCAAGGACGACAAAACTGGCGGCGGCAAGAACGGCAAGAAAGGAGGAAAGAAACGACAAGGAGATCAGTGCACGCTATGTGGCTCGAGATGGCACAATTCTGACACTTGCCCTCTCAAGGATGATCAGAAAGAGGACAACGCGTATCAGACTGACGAGCAGTATGATGAAGAATACTACGGACAAGGAAAAGGCTATCGCAAAGGAAATCGCAAAGGTAAAAGACGTGGCAACGGCAAAGGATACGATCGAGATCGGTACAGAGGCTATCAAGACAATCGAGGATCTCACGACCATCATCGACGCGATGTTCCACGCTTCGGCAGAAGCGACTTCCAGCAGCGACAGCAGAAAGGCAAAGGACGTGGCAAGAAAGGATATCGATCAAAAGGAAAAGGCTACGACCAACGACGACAGTTCTATCAAGACACTGATCGCGAAGACGACGTATATGGAAGCTACACGACCTTGCCGGCCATCCATGAACAAGAAGAACCAGACGAACAGGCAGCGGTGCCAAATGAGACGACCACGTACGACAAGAACATCATGACACGGACCCCTCTATCTTCAGGAGCGTGCCAGTTCGTACCTACCTCGACGACGGCAGAGAGAACACCGACACGGAAAGGATCAGCATACGACGATATATTCGGCACCGGAGAGAGAACCACAGTTGGACAGGGACAACCACGGCATCCACCTGGTTAGGCCCAGCAGCTGCTAGTTTGACGCGACAGGCGCGAACGAGCCACAAGCTTTTATTTTTTTTTTTTTAATTTTTTTTATTTTTTTTTTTTTTATTTTTTATTTTTTTTTTTTTTTTTTTTTTTTATTTTTTTTTTTTTTTTTATTTTTTTTTATTTTATTATTTATTTTTATTTTTTTTTATTTTTTTTTTTATTTTTTTATTTTTTTTTTTTTTTAATTATTTTTTTTTTTTTTTTTTTTTTTTTATTTTTTATTTTCTTTTTTCTGGCATCATCAAGCGCAGTTTCGGTTTCTGCGTCTACTCATACCTGTTGCAGATGTTTCTCAGCGGCGATTGCGAAGTGCGGCACGTGTAACCGTTCGTTTTGTATATGTCACGGATTCAAAGGACACTTGATGGTGATGTGCTCTTCTTGTCTGGATATCTCAGCCGCCCGGCAGCAACAACAGCACCAATCACAGCAAGACGCACAGTCACCAGGGACCACTTCTCAGCAGCAGACCACACCGAGCTCTGATGACACGTCATCAAGTTGGATGTTGATACCTAGACCGGACGAATCGCAGATTCAGGACGAACCAGAGGAGTTTGCAGCGTTGCCAGCTTCTGGCAACCCGTTCAAGAACTTGGCGGTCATCAACGGAGTCAACGTCATCGGCCTCATCGTAGACCCCGGAGCAGCTCGCGGTCTTATCGGGAGTGCTACTCTTCGAGAGATCTTCGACAAGCTACTACGACCTCGCGGCCTGATGAAACACGTGATGTGGTATCGTTCAAAGAACAAGTTCACGGGCATCTCATCTCAGCCCCAGCACAGCATCGGCATATGTGTATTTCCTATTGGTCTGGTTGGAATGAAGCATGCTTACTTTTCTTGCGATGTCATCACAGGTCAGTCAGCGAACTGTCCTGGACTTATTCCACTACAGACTCTGCTACGACTCGGCAGCATCATATCGTGCGGACACTTCCAGAATCAAGATGGACTTCTGGGACTGAGACTCGGCAATGGCGAGATGTGCTCACAGAGGATTCTTTTGACGGACTCATCGCACTACTTACTTCCGATCGACAACTTCGACAAAGAAAAGAACGACGTGTGGAATAAAACTGTACTTCAGCATCAGCAGGAAGTGGACGACGGAGCACATCAGCAAGGACAGCATCATCACGGAGTCACTCTCATATCCATGATCGACGGCAACGACCGAGCACCACATGAGGACCACGGGACTCATTTTCATTGAGTCCTGGGCACGACGCTAAACTGTTCACTCCAGACACTCTTACCTCATTCTCATCTACAACACGGAAATACTATCGAGATTGGCAAGCTCTTTCTTCAAAGGAATCTTTCTCACTGTGGAATGGCGAACCACTCTTTCCTTCGCACCTACTTCCAGAGGAGTTGGCAGTTGCAAGGACCGAATTCAATTCGATCCCAGAAATGTTCTACGCGACCTACACCTGGCTACCGGTCATCACGCCCGAGAACTACGACGCTTTCGAGGCAGCACTGGCCAAAGGACCTTATTGCGGATATCCGATTCTATGGAGTTGGTGTTCAGGTTCATCCCATCTATCTCTCTGTATGGCATCATTACCTTTCTTGTGTGCAGTACTTTTTCCAGTTGATCTACGCTACGGATGGGACCTCAAACATCGACCTCATCAACTTAAGTTACAGAGAGCAGACAAGACATTCAAACCAAGAGTCACAACGATGGAGCCAAGATGCAAGTATTGGAGTCACATGGGCACTGGACGCGACATCAAGGACACCATGGAGTTACGAGAATCAGAAATGCCCATGTTGAAGTTCATGACCTCACACGCTGTCAAGATCAAGCAGGACTTCAGAGACAATCTTGTGGAGAATCCAAGATCTTCTAGTATTTGGACGAAGTCTCCCTTGGCAGCCCTCCTTGATCATCCAGCTTATTCGAATCAACGTTACAACACTTGTATGTGTGCTTTCTCCAGCGAAAAGGACGGCCGAAGGAACAAGAAGGACACTACGTTGATTTCGACTTTCTGTCTCAGTCATTCTGTGAAGCGCTGCAGCTGCAAGAAGGAGCACATACATCTTCAAGGTTATGATAAAGAGACGCATCGCAAGCGGACAGCAGCAGCAGCTATGTTTTCAAAGAAGTTCTGTACGGCACTCTGCAAGGACATCTTGGCCCTGGAGTCCAAAGAACCAGGAATCTCTATCAACAAGTTCTCAAGAGCTTTCCCGGCAGCAGCAGATGACGAGGCAGAAGATGAAGCACCATTAGCTCAGTTACCAGCACCAGCAGGACCTAAGTCCTTGGACGACCTCATGGAAGAATTCAAGGACATCGACACCAAGAGCATCAAGATCACGCTCGACACCTTCACGCCCACGGAAGCACAATGGATCAAGGCAGCGATTCTTTCCATCACCGATTACACTATGAGTTTCGGCGTTCCTGGGACACCTACTGGACGGATTTTGATGTTGCCTGGCACTGGTAGACCACAACAGGAAGGTGCACGAGTTCTGTGTCATGCTCTCAGCCAAGTTTACACGACCAGGACTGTGACATCTCAATGCCATATGTCAGAAGCACACAAGTTTGACGAGACTGAGTTCAGCAATCCTGATGACTACAAGGATCGCATCAGATTTCTTGGCAACAAGGACGGCCACTACCACATGAGCGTAGTCAAGGATTGGAGAAACGCACCTGAAGACGACATAGACACCACGACGACGATCTACATCATCACTCTCCTGGGCGTTCACCTTTCGGACGTTATACTCGATGGTCCTCCCGGCCGACGAGATCAAGCTCGACGACTCAGAGGAAAGCAACCACGACCTACACACGGACCATATGCGATTCCACCAGAGAGGCCTGGACCACTTGCGGCTTCTACTGACGACGCCATCGAGAAGATCGAGATCAATGGCCGTGTCTTGTCACGGACGAAGCCCAACATGGAACTTCGGGAGCTACCCAAGAAGTTGACTCATGCCAACGAGAAGGATCGTGCCGGACTACTCCGTCTACTTCATGAACGCTTCTGGCACAATTCTCCATTGGACATGATGAAGTTGCTACAAGCCATGCTTTTACCTCAGGCTATCGTTCTACAGGGCATGGAGATTTGCAAGGCTTGTGAAGTTTGTCAGCAATGGGCTAAACGTCACGTACGACCTCAGATTAAATCGTTTCTGGCCACAGTGTTCAACGAAATGGTACAGCACGATTTGTTCTTCCTCTGGGATGAAACGTTCATGATTCTTATTGACGAAGCTACTAAGTGGAAGACTGGCGACCACCTCATCAACAAGACGGGCCCAGTCTTGGTGAAGGCGCTCAACTACCTTTGGATACGCATCTGGGGCGCGATGCAGAACCTTCTCACTGATCAGGAAGGAGGTCTCATGGGACACGAAGCCACCAAGCTATGTGATCGACTCGAGATCAACAGACTGGCTATTGGCAAAGGAGGAGCTACCACCAAAGGACTTGTCGAAAGGCATCTAGCCCTTCTCAAGCTTTCTATGCTCAAGCTCAAGCAGTCAAGTCAAGCAGAAGGACTGGATCTCAGTTACTCCGACATCTGCTACGAGTGTTGCGCCGGCCACAACTGCACTCTCAACTATGGCGGCAGCACTCCACAGTTGGCCTTGACTGGACAGCTACCGAGGACGATTGCGATCGACAGCGAGACCATCACATCCATGACGGGCGCCCTTGAGAAGCGTCCTGACTACATGGAGTCTATGTCACGCGCAAGACTACTGGCTCGACAGGCTATCGTACAGTCAGTTATTCAAGATCGATTAGCTCAGGCATCCAAGATAACTCAGCACCAGCACGAGCCGGAGCTACTCGTTCCAGGAACGATATGTGATATTTGGCGAGAACCAGCACGGAAAGACGAATGCGGATGGCGAGGACCAGCGGAAGTCATCAGCCTGGAGCGACGCGCAGGATCGGCAATAGTCAAGCACCAGGGCCAGCCGCTTATCATTCCTCTACGACATCTTCGGCGACATGTTCTTACTGAGCACTACATCATGGAGCTCAACAAGAAAAATGACACGAGCAGCTTATACATACACTACGACCTGGTCAACCCTACGATGGTCAAGGCAGCGGCTACCTTTCTGACACCATATCAGATATATGCCGATGGAGTTTTGGTTCCTTCGGAGACGCTGTACGACCTGATGGATTTAGTTGATGGATCTACGCCCACTAAGATATATTGGTTTGGCTTGGTATGGCAGCAAGAGCAGTATATGTTCCCAGTGAAGAAGCTTGCGATTCATGCAAGCCTTTGGCCCTGGGCATCAAGATATTCAGCGATACGTTCAAGCCTGTGCATGGTATCTTGTACGGCTCACAAGTACGTCGACTTCCTCAGATTGAATATGCACAGTGGGCTCTACTGCTACGTTGGCGACGAGAGGACCGAGCTGACTACAATATTCGTGTGCGACGTCCAGACATAGCTCTTCGCTATACAGCCGAGCAATCTACCAACTACAGCACAATGATGCTCTACAGCTATGACCATTGCGAGGATCTGGACAAGCATTTCGATCCACCAGAGCTGGACTGGAGTGACATCAGCATGATTGACTGGCCCGACGACCTCTCTGACATTGTTATTCCGGATCAGCAGCCACCGCGGGATCCACCAGCACCGCCAGCTCGAGCACCACCAGTTCCACCTTTTCGGTCAAATGCTATACCTCCACAAGAGCCTGGACGACCACCAGATCAGCCATCGCATGGTCAACCCTCGACGGCACCAGCTACGGCAGGCACACCGCAGCTCAACGTCCCAGGCGACCAGACTATCGACAGCGACGACGACATGGAAGAGATACCAGCTCATGGACATGATCACGACCTACCTCCAGCACCTGGACCAGCACCTCGACGTATCTCTCGAGAGGCACCTATGGGTCCACCTTCGTTGCAACCACAGCACCGAGACACACAAGGATCAGAGGATTCACTGCAGACTCCAGCTACTCCTGACAAGTTACCCTACATTCCTCTCGACTTGGACAAGTCCAAGACAAGCACAGCGGAGAAGCAGAAAGCAGTTGATCCTCCAGACGCGGCACAGTCACCACCTCAGAAGCGAGGGAGATCATCATCGCCATATCCATGGCCCTCTCCTTGGCAGCCTGAGTCACCACCACGACCACAGACGACGTCTACGGGGAGATATCAACCAGGAGCTTCTTCATCGTCAACGGACTTGCCAGCGGCTATGCCGGGTACGTCCTCGACACAGCCAGCTCCAGCGGATACGATAGAACCACCTGTACTTCCCATTCGTAAAGATGAAGTACCAGCAGGAGAGCAACCCTCGACTTCTACTGACAGAACTCTGGAATACAGCGACGACCCAGATGGAGATACCAGAGTCTTATACCAGGAGACGATTGACCACCTTGACATCCCCAAGATTGTCAATCTATGCGAACGACTACCCGACGGAACT